CTACTTTATATGGGACGCTGCCACAGCATGGCTTAACAAGTGGTGCATCAGTGCGCGCCCGGGATCTGAACCGGCGAACCTCGGGCCGCCGCAGCGGAGTGTGTGCACTTAACCGCTTGTGCCACCGGACTGGCCCCTACCTTTGGTTTTAATCTTTTAAAACCAAAGTTTTTAGTTTTTCAGGCGTACTGTAGAAGTGACAAATTGGGACCCCTAAGCATTTGTTGCTAACTGACTTTGTCAATGATCCTAGATCAATGTCAGTGTCCTAGATGCTGTCAGTTTATCCTAGAATCGGCCTTAAAGGAAAGTCCTCCTTGTGCAATTAATATTTGTAAGTTGCTTTTATAAAAGTGCCAACATACTAAAGGGAAGAGTGAAGACAGATGAAAGAACTGAAAAAGAATTTAAAAAGGTGAGGAGGGCTGGCCCCGTGGCTTAGCGGTTAAGTGCATGCGCTCTGCTGCTGGCGGCCCGGGTTCGGATCCTGGGCGTGCACCAATGCACCGCTTCTCCAGCCATGCTGAGGCCACGTCCCACATACAGCAACTAGAAGGATGTGCAGCTATGACATACAACTATCTACTAAGGCTTTGGGGGGAGAAAAATAAATAAATAAAATTATAAAAAAAAAAAAAGGTGAGGGAAGGAATAATCATAAGAGACATAAAAATGTCATTCTGTTGTGGAGAGCGGAGAAAAGCTTCCATGATGAGTCCATTTCATGGTTATATGCCAATTTACGAAAAGAACCAGGAAAACTAGCAGTTTGTGGTTAAAGATTAGGTCTATGAAAGGAGTAAGAAGGGTCAGTTGGATTGGTTCCACTGTTAGGTGGTACAGTGACTGCCTGGATAAGACCAAGTGTCTTCATGGATTGGATAAGGCCCAGGACAGAAGAAGAATGTCTACACTGTAGATGAACATTCACATAACCGGTGGGAATACAGGCACCATGTCTTAGAGATGCTCAAGAGATGTTCGGTTTTTGTGATCCAGTGTGATTCCCTAGACCTGTTGTCCCCAGCATTGATTGGCAGCCTCCAGCTAACTGTTAATGTGGCCTGCAGGTCTCAGCTCTGATGTAGGAAGAGGCAGGTGGCCACCTACTGGGGGGGGGACAGCTATCCTTCTTTAAAAATGAAGCAAGGTTTCTTGGGGACCTCCTGCACCTTTCCTGTATTCACACAAAATTCTGGAACGTTGTGCTCTGCAGTCCTATAAAGAAAGATCCAATTACAATTGGACAATGCAAAAGGGCAAAATTAAGGTTAACTTTGAATTTCCTGCTTCTCATGCAGTTGAATTCTCCCCCTTGCCATTGAGTTAATGTAATTTTACCCCATATAACTGAGCATAAATTACTGAACAAATATGGAATAAGTTGATATGGACTATAAGAAGATAATGAAGTGAAATTAGTAAGAAATTATCATTACAGTACTTAGATTTTTAAGGAGCAAGCATACTGTCAGTCAGCCAATGAAATATTTGCGAAGTAGTCTATTAATATATCAGATTGTGATAAATTAATTTCTAATTCAACTTTTTTATAAAATAATTAATAAAATAATAAAAATAATGATTTTAAGACCCTCCAGCAAAAATAATTCTTCACATTCTAAATATTACTCTTGTTTCCTTTGTTTTTTCTCCATATATCCACTGTAGGTGCTAGGAAGGACTTCAGATGTGAGGCATTATTCTATTTGCAGTTGTCCCTTTCCATTTGGACTCCATGATCCATGTTTTTAATATTAGTTTTGTTTTTCTTTGTATCATTTATTTTAGGTGAAGCAGCAATAGACAAGTAATGTCTTAGAAGGAGAACAGAGATTGCAAGAAATAAATCTTTCATCAGTGCTCTTAATAGGGAGACTTTGCCTCTGGAAGAAATGGACCTAACCACCCATAAACGCATAGAAAGGGACAGCTGGCTTCACCAGTGTAGTGATGGCTATGCTTAGTGCCATGATAGAAAAAGAATACCTTGTCATACAAATTGTTTGCAGATTTCCATTCCTCTGTAATTCCATCTGTTTGTAATATGAAGGTCTGTGCTGCTGCTTCCATCTCACCCTGTGAGTTAAGTGGATCTCCTCAGAGCCGTACGCTGACCCTGGATCTGCAGACTTGGTTGGCAGGGGGCGGGGGGCTTCGATGTGGAAGGACGCTCATTTGGCAGTATCATATTTGGTCATCTGGCCTACACACAGATCCCTCTTTAAAAGATCCGTTTTAAAAGATTTTTTTCAATTTATTAAAAGAAAGACTTCAAGTGTAGTTCTTATTTTTTGTTCAATATCAAGTCCCTAGAAAGTTAAATATTGTTTTTGTTTCATGTTCTATATTTATCCAAAATGTATCTTATCAAACCTTCAGAAAACAGAGGGATAACACTAGGCTTACCCATTTAGCAAATAAAAGTGTACAACACCCAGTTGAATTCAAATTTCAGATAAACAATAAATAATTTTTTAGTGTAAGTATGCCCCCAGTTTAACTGGGCATCCTATATTTTATTTGACAAACCTAGTTGAGACCAAATCAAGATTCCAGCCATTAGATGGGCTGAAAAGATTGGTCATAAAATAGTCAAGGTGCAAATTAAATTTAAATGTGATTTTAAACATTCATATGTAAATTTTTTAGGCCTATGGTATTGTGGTTATTTTTAAAAGAGTCCTTAACTTTTAGAGATATAGTATTTACTGAAACATTAATGGATGAAATTAAGTAATGTTTGCAATTCACTTCTAAATAATACAGGAGGTAAGTGGATGGGACAGATTGGCGGTGGGTTAATAGGTACATAAAAGTTAATTATGCTCTTTTGTCTGCTTTCAAATGTGTTTGAAATTTTCCTTAGTAAAGGGAAAAATAGGTGCGTGTGTTAAGTCATGTCTTTAGGTTAAAAGAATCTATCATTGAATCATCCTAAATGTCAAACAGTTGAGGATTTGCACAGTGGCACTAGAAGAGACTACAGATGGAGGCAGGGGCCTGTGAACCATTTTTGTAATTGTGACATTTTTGTTCCTCGTTTGGGATATTAATCATCTTGATTTTTGTCTTTCTCTCTCCAAAGAGCAATGCAGGAAAGTTTCAAATTAGTTAGTAGCCTCTCAGAGTTGAGATTGTTCAGTATGTAGCAGGATCTTTAAGGAAAGCTCGTGAAGAGGAGAACATGGTTAAGTGCTTTATGCTATGGCTGGCCTTTTAAAAATTGTTAAACACCAAGTGAAATAAACTGTTGGGTTAGGTAAAAATACCAAACATTACGTTTTTCAATTTGTTTGTGGTTTTTACAAAACAAATCTCTTTAACTGATTGGATGGAAGCCCTGGTAAATTAATAAATTGAGTGTAGAGTCTAATAAGTTAAGCACAGGCCTAGTTTTCCTAGCAGGTGAGCTGTCAGCAGCTGGGAACGCTTGGTCTCTGGCATGATTTTGGGCAGATTATTTATTGATGGACATCTTTAATGGTTTGCTTTTTTCTTATTCCAGGATTTCCTTCAAATGCTGTTGGAGAACATCCCAGAAGAAAAACGGTGAGGACCGATTTAGGAATTAAGAGTCCAGCTTTACTTTTACTGTTAAAAATGACTCTGCCGTGGTTTGGTGTGTTATAACCTAGAAAGTTTACTCTTCCTCTCTTAATAGAGGCAAGGACCTAGCCCAGCCAGTGGGAGTACCGGGATGACCAACTGGGCCTAGAGATGGGCCCATGTGGATGTCGGGAACCAGTGCACATAGCGGGGAGCCCCAGAGTCAGGAGCACCAAGAGTGGTAGAGGAGGCAAAGCAAGGACACTTTGCAGCTTCAGCTGCTGTGGAACAGAATGGACGAGAGGAAAGTTCTACAAGGTAGAGTGGCTCTAGTTAACATGGCTTAATATAAGGAAACACTATAATTGAAGGTGAAAATGTAGTGTAGTAATGAGAGCCTGGGATTTGAAGTCAATCTCTCCTAGATTCTCACCCAGCTCTGCCCCTTCCTAACTATGAAATTCCAAGCAACTCACTTCATCCCTCCAAATTTCAGCTTACCACCCTCTCTGGCAGAGTTTTAGGGAGGATTGAATGAGATAATATATATGAAAAGCAGGTGCTCAGTTAATGATTGATAGAGTTGTAACAATAATCATCTGTTCATCAGGCAGTGTACCCAGGATCTACATATAGTCAATCATTTAATTCTTATTACAGCACCCTTCATAATCATCATCCTACTCATAGAATTATTATAAGCCAACACTTACTGGAAGGTTACTCTATGCAGGCACTCAGTTAATCCTCCAAACAACACTGTTTGGTGCATTATGTTTCTATCTCTATTTTACCAATAAGAGGACTGAGGGACTGAGTAAGCAGCAGGGGTCTCACAGCTGTATGTGGCAGGGCTGGGATTTGTGCCCAGGCCGTCTGTCTCTAGAGACTCTGCTCTCCACTATGTTCTGAACGAGGAAACTAAGGCTCCCAGAGGTTAAGTAACTTCCCAAGATCTGTTATTAGCAAGGGAGATGGCTTTGATTGGAATTAGGTCTGTCTGGTTCTTGCCCATGCTCTTTGCATAGAGCTCACTGCCCTGGAACAGAAGGAGATTCTCTTCCTTGGAGGTGTCCGGTTTTAGTCTGGCTGACCACCTGCAGGGATTCATAGAGGAGGTTTAAGACCCACGTCAAAGTTTAGACTAGGTTCCTTCCTACCCCCTCCTTCTAATTTCTTACCTTACTTTAGGCACTAAAAGTAAATACCCTGAAATATAATTTCTGATAGCAAAATTGGTATTCACATGTTAAAGGGGAGCATCTTGAGAAATTAAAGATTTCTTTGAAGAAGAGCCAACATTACTCTCCTTTCTGACCCACAGTTTTAGCTATGTTTTTATGCTCGTAGCAGATTTCCAAATGTGGAAATGAATTCTTTCACACAGACTTAGGCTTAGATCCATGCAAGGCGAGACACCTCCATGTTGATGAGCCTGTCTTAGAGGCAGTCTAACTTGGGTGTCTAACAGGTAAGGTGTCAGGGCTTATGCTACCAGCAGATAACATGCAAATTCAGGGGAGGATCCAGTGACGATGAAGACGTGAGATTTGTTTCTAGCATTAGATTTTTGCCTGGCCTTTTTTGTTTTAAACTCCCCATTTTCTACTTTCTACCTCCAGTTCTTGCTTCAACAGTTAGAAGTGTCTTTGTTGGGTTTTTTTTAATCAGATGGGAACACACACACATAAAGCAAGCCAGTGCATCATACAGAATTCACATACCCATATTATGTGATAAATTCTTTTGTTTCTACTTCTTCATGTTCATGCCTTTTGATGCTGAAGGAAGTCTTATCCAGGAGATTGCATAGGACTTTAGTAATTGGCCAAGAAAATTAGCTTTTCAGGAGGCTGCTCAAAAGAAGTGTGGTTTGTTTTAGAAGGTCTGAAATGTTTCAGATTTACCATTCTTTCTTTTTATGCAGACATATGCGTTTTCTTTATGTAAAAATCACATCAGATGTGGCTATTATTCCTAAGGTCAACTACAGCAGTTTACCTGCAAGATGTATTTTTTTTCCTTTTCTTTTGTACCTGCCCTGGAATAACTTTTCAGGTTCTCTGATAGAATGGAGCAGTTTCCTTAGGAACTAATGCAGGAAATAAAAGAAAATTAATAGAAATGGTGTATTACCTCCTGTTGGCAAAGTCTGTTTCTGAGTGATGATTATGTGTTCTTTCAAAAGAACTTCTTAGGCCACAAATATAGCAATTTGCATGAAAGCAACGAAGTGCATTTTTAGGTTGGGAGGTCTTCTTTCTTTTCATCCTCTTCCTAATAAGGGTATGGAGTTCATTTGGATGGCCCCGAGCCCTCTGGCACTGGGGGACCTGGATTTTATCATGTGAATATTTATTGAGGCAACACACTGTGGGCCCACAAAGAGACTTTTGTTGTGATTGTGGAAGTTAAGAGCAATGTCTCTGTTTAATGGTGGCCACCGACCACCAACCTTCACCCTTTGAGAGGATGCCTCTCCTGGTTAGGATCATGTTTTGGTTAGCAGGTTCAAGCTTCTTTTTACAATTCTCCTTAAAAGTTAAGGCAATTTCATTCCTACAATGAATCTATTTCAGGAGGTATACTAGAATATTTTTTGAAACTCAAACATCTTCTTTCCTGCTGACTAACCTCAGAATCTAATTCAGCTATTAAAACAGACTGTTTACCCTGTTACCTATGCAGCATATTGTACCAATTTTATCTAGGTCTCCAAAGGCCCCACACCTACCCCCAGAGCCTCTAATCTTTGGCCGTGTTGCAAACTGATCCTCAGGCACATCTGTTAGGCATGTAAGCCATTCTGAACAGGGCAAGGTTTCAAATGAGACCAGCAAGTTAGTGTTCAGGGGCTAGCACCTTCTGTCATACTGCCTTTGCGTTGTTCTCTGACTTCAGTTAATTTAACATTCTCTCTTGAGCACCTGCCAGGCTTTAGGCTAGATGGTAGGGAACAGAAAGGAATAAATTCCATGTCTAGCCCTCAGGGAGCTCCTACTCTACTGTTGAAGACATACATGAAACAGATCATTATGACTCAGTGTAGGAAGTACTCTGGGGAGCTTCTGGGTGCACAGAGAAAGGTCTCATCAATCCTAGCCTTGAGCCTTCAGGCAAAGAGGTACGACTGAAGGTCTTTTTTTTTTTTTTGTGAGGAAGATCAGCCCTGAGCTAACATCCATGCTAATCCTCGTCTTTTTGCTGAGGAAGACCGCCTCTGAGCTAACATCTATTGCCAATCCTCCTTTTTTTTTTCCCCCCAAAGCCCCAGTAGATAGGTGTATGTCATAGTTGCACATCCTTATAGTTGCTGTATGTGGGACGCGGCCTCAGCATGGCCGGAGAAGCGGTGCGTCGGTGTGCGCCCGGGATCCGAACCCGGGCAGCCAGGAGCGGAGCGCGCGCACTTAACCGCTAAGCCACGGGGCCGGCCCCACCACTGAAGGTTTTAAGTAGAGTAGTGCCATCAGCAGATTGGAAAGATACTCTGGGGGGGGGCAGTGTGGAAGGTAGATGAGGGTGGGGAAAACTAGAAGTCAGGAGACCAATTAGAAACCAATACATGGGCCGGCTCCGTGGCTTAGCGGTTAAGTGTGCGCGCTCTGATGCTGGCGGCCCGGGTTTGGATCCCGGGCGCGCCCCAAGGCACCACTTCTCCGTCCAGCGCGAGGCCGAGTCCCACGTACAGCAACTAGAAGGATGTGAACCTATGACATACAACTATCTGCTGGGGCTTTGGGGGGAAAAAAATGAATAAATAAAATCTTTAAAAAAAAAAAAAGAAACCAATACAGCAGTTCACTCAAAAGATCTAGAGCTGGAACCGTGGCAGGGATGGTGGCAGTGGGGTTTGAGAGTAATGAACAGATTTGAGGGGTGTTCCAGAGGTGCCGCAGGGAATCCTTGGTTAATTGGTTGTGAAAGTTGAATAGAGGAATCCAGCGTGAGCCTGTCCTTTCCTTCTTGGTTACACTCTGTTACTCAGTTACACTCGGAAGAATGCTGAGCACATGGGCAGCTGTTTTGTCTCGGGAATCAGTATGGAGCAGAGGAGTGGAAGGGAGAGTATTTGAAGGTGGAAGGGGAGAGATGAGGAGATGTGTTTCAGATGTCTTCAATGTGAGCTTTCTGTTTAAGTGCTGATGTTTTATGAGACCAAGGGAAGACAAATCTAAAAGTGCTTAGAAGGAAATTCAGACAAATCCTGGGTCCCAGCCTGCCTTGGTACAAGAGTGTCCTGCCCACCTCCTATTCTACCTGGATCAACAGCTACCGAGTCTTTCGTTGCTCATCAGTTGTTGTGTTTGTGTGAGCATGTTCATGTGTTTGTTTTAATTCAGTACTGTTTCTCCCTCACGGAGCTAGGGAGTACTCGTTTTATAAATGTTACGTCAGCAATCTTCATTATCTACTGAAGCACCAATGACTTGTTTTGATCAAGAAAATAGGTAACCATGTGCAAGGCTTTGAGATGTGCACTAGTTGTATCCACATCTAGAGAGGGGACTTAAAAACATAAATTCCTAAAATTTAAAAATTCATACAGAATGTAAGTTACATTCCAGAACAAGGGCATTTTCCATTTCAGACCCTGAGCACTGAAGTTCCCAAAGCTTGCATGCATCTAGTACCTGCACTTCCGAAGTTCTTTTGTCTATCATTTAGTTCATATGAAAGTTGCTGGGGCCATGTGCTTTCCTTTAGAGGCACAGATAGAATGTGATCTTTAGAGTCTCAAGAGGGTGAAGGTGGGAGCCAAGAGTGATAAAGATGTTTCTGCTGATCAGCAACAAGTTGATAGGCACAACTAGCAGAAATGGCTAATAATCAACTCCCCACCTTGTCACTCTAGGCTTAGAAATCAATAGAGCGAGAAAATACAGCACGTGCAATACCATTTTCACTCAGGCCTGGGTCTATTTCTATGGACTTTAACATCACAAACAGAAGAGCAATTAGTCACTTTCTCGACTTTTTTTTTTTTTTTTTTTTTGTGAGGA